GCTTACTATTTCTTACTCAACAAATGACAAAAATAAAATACACTGAGTGGCTTACACAAAAGAAATATCTTTACAATTCTGAAAGCTAGGACATTTAAGGCCAAGGGGAGGCCAGTCCAGATTCCAGAGAGGCCTTCTTCCTGGGTTGTACAGGGAGGTCTTTCTGCTGTGCCCTCACAGCTGAAGACAGAGAATGTCTCTCTAGGTCTCTTCTTAAGGGCACTAATCCCACCCATTAAGGCTCCACCCTCATGATCTAACTGCCTCTCAATAGCTCCACCTCCAAATACATCACATTCTGAGTTAGGGCAGTGACCTAAGAATTCTGAGGAGGACACAAATATTCAATTCATAGCACAGGGCAAGAGGGGACTCCAAGTGTGGCCAGGCTGGATATGATCCTTGTTCTGGAGATTGTGTAGGTCTGGAAGCACAGGGCTGTTCAAGCTTTACCCCCAGCCAGGCACATGCCCTCCTGCCCATAAGTGCCAGCTCACTTCACAACTGTCCTAACCCAGCCCTGCATGTACACACACACACACACACACACACATACACACACAGCCGAAGCTCTGCCAGAATCTGGCAGCCACTTCCAAATGCCCACCAAAAGGCACTATGCATCCTGGTAAAGAATTGAACAGTAAAATATTTCTGGGGCCTATTTTCAGTACGCAAAGGACAGACATTCCACGCAATAGAAGGAAAAGCCACTGCACCTTATCTGAACCAAATCCATTAATATCCAACATCAAAGAGGCAGACAATCACATGGTCCATCTAGCGCACTCTCCTCCTAGAGCCTCTGCCTCCAACGGGGCCTCGGTCTAGCTCATGATCCCAGGCAAATCACATCCCCTGTGGGCCTCCTTTCCATCCTCTGTAAAACAGTACTGGGCCCAATTTCCAAGTTTAGGAATAGAAGCGTTTACCAAGAAATTCTGGTATCAGCTTTCATGAAGACTCAAGCAATAAAGCATTTTGGAAAAGCCCAACAAAACCACAGTTTCTCCAGAGAAGGCAGAAAGACTCTTTAAAATGAAAAACATATGACAATACAATAAGCAAACTGCTGAATGTTCTTCTTTTTTAAAATTATCTGTAAAAAGAAACAGCCTCTGCGTGGTTACACACAACTAGCTAAAGGCCAAGCAGAACAGATCCCTTGCTAACCCTCACGGCTCCTTAAAGTCGGGGTCTATTCTCCAGCTGGACAGCCTAGCCCAATGCATTAATGCCTAAGGAAATCAGTTCTTGGATTAGTTCATGTGAAAAGAATGATGAATTACTATTTTCCAGTTTCAACACCATAAAACTGTAACAGGAATTACTGTGTATTGAAGTTCTCCTTTCTTAAAACATATTCTGACTCCAAAATCCTCTGTCTCAACTGTTCCTTTCTTTTGCAAAACCTTGTCCGTTTCCATCACTTTTATGAAGCCAACACTTGGACACAGGTCTTCTATCTTGTTCTGTGACAAATGTTATGTACACATGAATATTCATGAGGTCAGTGAATTTCATGAAAGAATTTCAAGTGAGTCAATAACCCATATTAAAATGTACTTCCTTTTTTAAAAAATAGTCCGAGCATACAAAAAGATGGACAGAAAAAAACACAGCAACTTTAATGTACCTATCCATCACCCAGTCCAAGAAATAAAACAATACAAAGCAACCATGGAAGCCCCAGCACATTTCTCCCCAGCCACACCTCCCTCCTCACATCAAAGGTAACCACTACCCCAAATCCAAGTCTGGTCACCCCACACGGCTCTCTTTCCCCACACAGTATATACTGTACTCTTACAACATATGGTGCTGTTCCAATCTTCTTAATCCTCATATAAACAGTGTCACTATGTGACTTTTTATTTCTTGCTCAGTTTTGTTTGTCACAGCCACCTACACGGACACACACAGCTCTAGATTCTTTATGTTCATTACTGCGTAACATTCTGTTGTGGGAATACTATGAATACACCACAGATTTAGCCTAAAACACTGCCTGATGTTTCACATGGCTGCCTGGGTAGTACTCACCTTTATACCAGCCACTTTCAGGAATCCTCACAACCACTCAAGGAGAGTGACAGTCCCACTAGACCAAACTAGAGACAGGATAGAAAGGTATTAAACTTGTCCAGCACCTGTGAGCAGCAATCTCAGCCTGCAAATCCAACCTGAAGCCTTACCGCTAACTGTAAGCTTTGTAGTCCCACTGATACAATGCTTTTTTTTTTTTTTTGTATAGAGAATTGAATCCAGGACCTTCACACTACTATATGCCCAGGCCTTTTTATTTACTTTTCATTTTGAGATACCATCTTGCTAAGTCATGAATCTTCTGCCTCAGCTTTCTAGAGTGCCAGGATCACAGGGCTTATGCCGCTCAGCCATGGCTAGGTTTCTTTTTTAATAAAAAAACTGAGCTGGGTACTGTTGCACACCTGTAGTCCCAGCGCTCTAAAGGCTGAGACACAACGATCTCAAGTTCAAGGCCAGCCTAGGCTACATGGCGAGACCTTGTCTCAAAGAGAAAAACAGTACTAGTTGTGCACATACCTGTAAGCCTAGCCCTCCCAGAGGCAAGAGGATCACAAATTCAAGCCCAGTTTGAGGAATTTAGCAAAACCCTGCCTCAAATGCTTTCAACGGGGAAGGAGGGTACTGTAGAGCTGTAGATACAGCTCAGTACAAGACTCCAGATTCAATTTCCTGTACTGTACTGCCAATAAAGAAAAGATAAAAACTTATAGAGGGCTCTAAAATCATAAGAAAACCTGAAACAGGATGCTTGACTTTCTTTTTTTAACAAACAATTCCACCGGAAATTCATCTGACATCAGATGATCCTCATGTACTCTGAGGACAAGCCTCTCACTGTGAAAGTTACTGTGAACTAGCTGGGGCCACTCCCAAGTCTATGCAGATGCTGTCTAAGTAACCTCAAGCTGAACTGCAACCTGCCTCGGTTTCCTCTGGAGAAACAGACCGCCTGCACCCACTTAGAGACCATGGGAATCTGATCCTGCGCCAATTGGCAAAGTGGAGCCACAGAGCTCTAAGAACGACTTGGGAGCAGCTCCAGCTGGCCAGGCTCTGGAGGGATCCGGGAACAGGCCTGTGCTCGCAAGGCCTGGGCACTTGTCCACTCTGCTCTCCACCAGTCAGCACTGGGAGAGCCCAGCCCTGCTGCTCTGGAGGAATACCAGCATGCAATACGGAAGAGCAATCAGAAAGAGGTCTGAGGGTGGGGACTCAAAGAACCAAGCAGGGAGCAAGGGCCCCTCTGTATATTCCAAGCAGGGGAGACCTTAAGAGATGACAGAACCTCCCTCTAAAGACTTCCCTAGGCCAGCGCAGGCCGCCAGCTCCAGGACCCCGACTCTACCACATGTCTCCACACTCCTCTGCTGGGTGACCGAAGCCTCCAGCCAGTAAGGCAGGACTGCCAAGCAACCCTCCCACCTTTCCAGGTGGAAGTAGAGCGAGAAAGCAGGAGCAACCCCTGCCCCCTATCCAGAGACAACAATTGAGGTCATCTCAGGGTCTCTGCCGTCTAACTCTGTCCACTAACATTTACAGACCAGTTCAGGATGGCTTTGTTTGTGTGGTTCTGAGGATTGAAGCTGAGCTCTTCACACCGAGCTACATCCCCAGCCCACCCCACCCTTGGGTCTGCTAAACTGCTTAATTGCCCAGGCTGGGCTAGGATCATGGGCAGAGAGTAAATCACTTAATCCAACACTCCTGTGAGGCCAACACTACAACTACCCGACTTTACAGAAGCAGCTCAAGTACAGAGATGTTAAAGGTCATACCAAGCTCCACTCGGAAAAGTGGCCCCTTTGGAGGGAAGCCTACAGCTTCGGAAGGGTTGCCACTGACATCCAAAGGATGGTGGGGTGGGGACAAGATTGGGGACCAGGGAGCTGGGGGAGGGGGCGGTGTAGAGGGAAGTCAGAGTCAACGACCCGAGACCGGACCGGACAGAACAGCCCCCGACCCCACGGGCCAAGATCAGGGCAAGGGCAAGAGGAAGCAACAATGGATGGGGGTAGGGTAGAAGGCCGACTGGGGCAAGATGGAGAAGGCGTGGGGTGGCTAAACGGGCTGGGGTGGACCACCCGCAGGGCGAGAGGCCGTGGGCACAGGCACGCAAGGCGCGGGGAAGCGGGACGTGAGTACCGGCTGCAGGACGGGGGCGTGGGTACTGGCCCGGGGCCGAGCTGGGTCGTGCAGACCAGGCGCTGGGCGTGGGTACCGGCCGTGAGGCGTGGGGACGCAGAACGCGGCACGTGCGGGCGCGAGGTGCGGCCGTGGGGCGTGGGGACCGGGCGCGGGGCACGGGACAGAGGGACTGGCTGCGCGGCTCCGGCACGGGGGGGCCATGGGAACCGAGTGTGCGGCGCGGGGGCGAGGGGACCGGCCCACCTTCAGCACGGCGACGGCGCCCGCGCTGTGCACCTGGAAGTGCGCGGGCAGCTCGGCGCCGGGCTCTGCGGCCTCGTCGGCGCCCGGGTAGCAGAAGCAGGCGTCGGCGATATCCAGGCGGCCCAGCGGCAGCGCGTCCTGTGGGGTCTTGAAGTAGTAGAGGTGGCAGCGGCGCGCGTCGAACACAAACCAGCGGCTGCGGTAGCCGCGCAGCGGGCCCTTGCCCGACAGCTTCTGCAGGTAGCCGCAC